ACCCCTGCTCCCGCCTCTTCCTCCGCAGCTCGAGGGATCAACGTGGGCCGGGAGTGCTGCGTGGAGTACTTCAAAGGGGCCATCCCTGTGCGGAGGGTGGTGCGGTGGTACCGGACCTCGGAGGAGTGTCCCAGGGCTGCTGTCGTGTAAGCCTGCTGCCCCACCCCCCGCCCCGATTCTGGGGGCTGAGCATGGGAGAGGGAGGTCCTGGAGCTTCCAGAAGGGCCACTGGGAAGGAGAGAGGAGAGTGTGGCCTTCACGTCCCCTCTGTCACCCAGGCCCTGCCCCTGAACCCACTCCCCGCCCCCCCAGTTCCCAGTTCCCGGGCTCTCTGGAAGGGAAGAGTCACTGAGGCAGAGCCTGAGCTCCCAGATTTCCTACCGACCCCGTGTGACGTCCGCAAGTCGGGCAGGCGCAGGACCAGGCTGCTGGGCTCTGTGGAGCCTTCTGCCATGATGCCCCCCGGCTTTCTCCCTCTGTAGGTTTGTGACTGTCCAGGGCAGGTCCATCTGTGCGAACCCCAAGGAAACCACGGTGAAGAAGGCGATCAAATACTTGCGAGCCATCATGAAGTCACATGACCCCAGGGTCCAGGAGTCCTGATTTCTCCCTGGACCATGTGGAAACTTCCGGTGCCTCAGTGTTCACTACCCCAACTCCCCAGCGGCCTGGGTCCGGGGGGGCTGTCCAGGGACAGAGTACCATCCCTTTCCCAACTGGAACCGAGGCATGAAAGGCCCCCATTAAAGTCTTTCTGCCGCAGTCTGTGTCAGTGTGTCTGTCCCCCAGGCTGTCACATTGCTGGGCCCTCAGAGAACATCTGGTCCTGCCCCATCCAGGTCAGAAAGGGAGCTGAGGCTCAGAGGGACCTGGGGGCAGGCCACACTCGGTGAGGGAGGCCCTGGTGTGAGAGGCCTAGGCCGGCGTGGGGCTGAGGTAAGAGCAGGGGGGGTGGATGAAGAGGCTCAGCGGACACTCCCCCTCTGTGGTGCATGAGCAGGGAGGGGTTCTGGGGAGCATTGTCTGGGTTCTCTCAGGTCTCTTGTCAGACCCCTGAAGTCCCCAATCTCCTCCCAGACCAGCCTCTGTGCTCACCTGTGACCTCTTGCCCGGTCCCCTTAAGTCTCTGACCCAATTCCGCAGACGTTTCCAGCTGGGGAGCTCCCTGGCCTGGGGGTTCCTGCAGCCACACCACCATCTCGCCCACCTCTCACTGCAAAACCTTTGCAAGACCCTCAATGGTCTGCTCTCGACTCCCAGCGGCTGCCTGCAGCCCCTCGCCCGGGATCTCACATCCCGGCCCTGGAGGCCAGAGAAACCCTCGTTCTCCGGTTCTTCTAAAGGCCCAGCACTCAGGCCAGGCCCACTCAGGATACTCCTTCACTGATGGGCCCTTAGGGACGTCACGCCTGCAAACCCTTACTGCTGCCACATAATGTGATCTCGCCACAGCAGTGAGGGCCCAGCATGCTCACAGGCCCCGCTCAAACACAAGGGCAGGCATCCACTGGGCGTGGGGGGCTAAGGGGCGTCCTGGAACTCTACCCACCACAGGGGCTTCACAGTCCAACTAGAATCTAGCCACACCCGTAACTGAGCTCCACCCGCCGGGACCATGAGAAGCAAAAGCAAGCTTCGAGCACTAAAACCAAAGAACGCTTTTATTTATTGGTAAGACAGGAAAACCCAGGGCTCTCAGACCCACACACTCTCCCAACTATTTGGCCAGACCCGCTCCAAGTCTGTGAGGGCGGTAACGAGAAGGCTCTCCTGTTCGGAGAGGTGAACTGTGGGCTCAGGTCTCCGTCCTGCTTCCTCCAGCCAGGACTCTTCTAAAGGAGACGGAGAGGCCTGGTCCCTAGGACCAGCCCCACTGTGCGGGACACAAGTCTCCAAAACAGCAAGTTCTGTGGTGCAAGCTGAGTCTGCACGGCTGTCAGACACCACACACACATCCCCTCGTCACACTGATCCGTGGAAGTACACGAGTTTAATAGTAACTGCAGATGAACAGAACACAGGTGCAACACACGAAAACACGGGTGGGGGTGGAGGGGTACAGGGACTATGATCACAGCAACCCCTGAGTGACTCCCTTGGTGCCCTGAGGTGACGAATCCCTTGACTCACGTCACCAGGAACTGCATGGTGAGTAAGCCACCAATTCGGTAAGACACTAGCGGCGCCCGCTGAGCACAGAGTAGGGGCAGGGCCCTGCCACGGAGTTAATACTCGGGGAGCCTGGGCACGGAGTGTTATGATCAGCACGTTGGCCCCCGGAGGGGGACCGCTCCAGGACACATCCGATTCCCTAACACTATGAGGAACCGGCCCGGCCCGGTAACCGGCCCAGGACACCTTGGTCTTTTGATCCACAGCAGCACTACACGCCCCTGCACCCCACAGGCAGCTTCACTCTGCCTAAGCCCCTCCCTGCACTGGTTTCGGAGAGAGGGAGCCATGGCAGAGACAGGGTCTGAGGCAGGAGCGGCGGAGGAGCCGTGTGCCCGCGGGGCCCTCCTAGGCATCGCTGAGGTTGCTGTTGCTCAGGAGCACCTGCTCCCCGGGCTTGAAGGCTGGCATCCCGAGGTAGGGGCAGCTGGCGCAGCGGAAAGCGTCGCCCAGGTAACACTGTGGACATAGTAAATATACAATGATATATTGTAATATACTGGAGAGACCATCATACGTGGAGCTTATGCCAGGAATAGGGGCTAGGACGGGATCCCTAATTTTGTGTTATGGCCTCAGCGGCTGAAGGAAATGGCTGGGTGCATCTGTAGGTCCCCTGGGGCCCAGACACAAGAGTTTTAAAGCTCTCTGGTCCTATGAGAACAATGGCCTAGAGACGCTCCTTAGGCCATATTTCTATATTCTCAGCATTCAAGTACCAGCTGAGCTCCGCCAAACGGCTGAATAACCTCAGGTCCCCGAGGAAGTAGGAAGGGACAAAAATAAGAAACAAGAGCCCCCGTCTGGGCAGGAGCATGCTGACCCTCTCTTAAGAGATAACTGTGCTGCCCCATGAAGACCAACATACACGTTCTCACGTGTTCACCGATTATTGAAATATTGGGCAGGAAGTTCCTTACAGCGGGAGCTAGCCTGTGTGGAGTTCAGGATGACGCCCGAGACCACTAAGGATCTGGGGAATGCTAAGCAGCGATACTTACGTTTCCACAAGCCGACTTGGGCTGGGAGCTCGTCTGTGCCCGGGAATTCTCTTTTTCCAGTTCTTCGGCAAGGCCACACGTGCTGGGGAATCAGGAGCTGATGAGTGAGACCGGCCACCACCCAGAAACCCCCATCCTGGCAGTACCAATGTACGCAGACTTTCCTCTCCGTTCCTTCCCGCTGACTTCCCGGGAGTTGCTCTGCGAGATTCTCAAAGAAGCCAGAGCAGAGGACCCTGTCGATCTGTCTTCCCTGGGAGCCTTCTCAGATATGGAATATCCACCTTTCCTTGTCTACTCAGGTTGGGGCTTACTCTTCAGTTCTTCACAAATAATAGATTGTCTGGAGATTCACATGCAGGTGGTTAAACTATCCACCTACATGTGAAAACTGGTTGAGCATCAACCTATGAACCAGTCAGGGCACATGCCTGGGCTGTGGGCTCGTAAATAATAGATTGTCTAGGGATTCACATGTAGGTGGTTAAACTATCCACCTACATGTGAAAACCGGTTGAGCATCAACCTATGAACCAGTTTGATTACCAGTCAGGGCACATGCCTGGGCTGTGGGCTCGGCCCCCAGTAGGGAGTGTGCAGGAGGCAGCTGATCAGTGATTCTCTCTCATCATTGATGTTTCTCTCTCTCTTCCTCTCCCTCCCTCTCTGAAATAAGCATGCGGAGGCGGCTGCTAAGGTACCAGTAATATCTCTGGTTCTTAACCTGGGGAGGCGTACCTGGTGTTCGTTTTACTGTTCTTTAGAATGCACCTGCAGGAAGACCCTGCTGCAATTACACAGAGCCCTGTGGCTGCAGGGACGAGAAGCCGGGAAGCACCTGGACCCTGCTGTGGCAGCACTCACCAGTTCTTGCAGGCCTTCCTCTTCTTCCCTTCTCCGCAGGAAGGGGCCCGCAGGGAGGCTGGGTCTGGCTTCTTCAAATCCTCTGGGTCCAGCAGCTCATCTGAGTCAATGAGATCCTGGGGAGTGTTGGAAGCAGTGAGTGCCACGGCCATACTCTGCTAAGGAGAGCGGAGGCGGCCACAGGTGGAGGCAGCAGGGTCACCGCCTGTGTGAGGTGCCCGCCATCCTCCCTCCGGCTGATGCTCACATAAGGGCTGAGCACCACAGAAGGTGCACTAGCTGTGAGGGGACTGGGAACCGATTTACAGTGGGAACAGCTGATAGCTGGTAAATGAAAAATACTTCAATAAACACTGCCTTTATAATTATTCAAAGTGTGTGGACACATTTTTTGGGACACCCACCCTATATGTAAAGATCTATATATAAAGATCCATATCTATGCATATATACCTATGAACACAGACACACATTTTTTGTGAGGAGGCAGTGAATCAAGGGGGTTTGAAGACTAAGAGCCTGAGTCTCTCCTATGTTCTATTTTCTGGGTTTCTC